ATATCCATCGAACCGACGCGCCGCGCCCACGCCCGAACTTAATCATGTCTGGAGGAAGAAATCCCATGGAGGAGGCCTACGAGCGCTTCAGGGCCGTCGCTCAACAGCAGCAGAAGCGCGGCGGCTTCGGCGGTGGCGGCATGCCCGGCGGCCCTCGCGGCGCTGGCATGGGACTTGCCGGTCTGGTTCTTTTGGGAGGTGCTGCCTTCGTGGCCCAGAATGCGCTATTCAACGTCGATGGTGGTCACAGAGCGATCAAGTACCGGAGGACAACGGGTGTGAGCAAGGAGATCTACAGCGAAGGTAGGCAGCACCCCTCCACACCATTTGAGGAGGCACCGTTCCCCTTGATATTGGTAATGAAAACGTGCTGACAGTTTTTCTCTTCTCAGGAACCCACTTGATCATCCCCTGGTTCGAGACCCCCGTCACCTACGATGTTCGCGCGAAGCCCAGAAACGTCGCCTCTCTCACCGGAACCAAGGACTTACAGATGGTCAACATCACCTGCCGTGTTCTTTCCAGGCCTGATGTTAAGGCCCTGCCTCAGATCTACCGCACTCTTGGCACAGACTACGACGAGAGAGTGCTTCCATCCATCGTCAATGAGGTTCTGAAGAGCGTTGTTGCTCAATTCAACGCTTCCCAACTCATTACCCAGAGAGAGATGGTTGCCAAGTTGGTTCGCGAGAACCTCTCCCGCCGTGCTGCACGGTTTAATATTCTGCTGGACGATGTGTCCCTGACGGTATGTAAACGACACTCCAATGAAACCCCCATGATGCCTTGCTAACTATTTGCCATAGCACCTTGCCTTTTCCCCGGAATTCACAGCTGCCGTTGAGGCGAAGCAGGTTGCCCAGCAAGAAGCTCAGCGCGCGGCGTTCGTTGTCGACAAGGCTCGCCAGGAGAAGCAGGCCATGGTTGTCAAGGCCCAGGGTGAGGCTCGCTCTGCTGAGCTGATTGGAGATGCCATCAAGAAGAGCAAGGCCTACGTCGAGCTGAAGAAGATTGAGAACGCGCGCGCCATTGCTCAACAGATGCAGGAGTCCGGCAGCAAGAACCGTTTGTTGCTTGACTCTGAGGGCCTGGGCCTGAACGTGTTCGATGATAGCGAGAAGAAATAAGGCATCGGCATTTGGGCGCGGATTCTCCACACTGTACTCTTACAACATCGAAAACTGGCATGGACTTGTATAATAATGAAAAATATCGCCTCTGAGAGCTTCGAGAACACTTCATCTGCAAACGTAGGAGGCTCGAAAGGGTTGGTGGAAAATCCATCCATGTACAACAAACAGAACCGCTTCAGTAATTCTGGTACAGCACAATAGAAAATTCCACACCGTGAATGTCCCTCGTTACGTTGCTCATCTGTAAAGTACTTTACAGTAGCAAGCTTGCTACGTTTGGGATTGTCTTTCGTATGTTGAAGTACTTTCTTCGACAGCCGTCGATCCATTCGCAGCACAGGCCGTCGGAACTGGTGGATGCCTGCACAGCGTTAAGACGTGCCTGGGGTGGGCCCGGGCATCTCAGAGGTCCCCTCCCCTGCTCAGCTTACAGAAGGGCCCCTCCCCCACCACGACTTCCTGCCTGCGGATAGCTCGAGACTAATCGTACAACCGTCACATCCTCAACCAACAAACCGCACGACCCCGCCAAGTCGAATTCGAATACCACACAGCCTCGCATTTTCTACCTCCCCTCGAAACCAAAATCAAGCCCATAGATTGTTGTCGCCATTTCACACACGCCACAATGTTAATCAAGTATGCGCATCTCTGTCCTCCGGACCTCTGGAGGCGGTGACCCGACTGTACCCATTCGAATAAACTGCTTACGCCAACTAGGGTGCGAACGCTTACCGGCAAGGAGATTGAGCTGGACATCGAGAACGAATACAAGGCGCGTACCCATCCGACACATTGCCCACCGAATACAACGGACGGAGACAGAGAGGTGGAGAATAGAACGCTGACCAACCTTGCAATAGGTTTCTCAGATCAAGGAGAAGGTTGAGGAGAAGGAAGGCATCCCGCCCGTGCAGCAGAGACTCATCTATGGTGGAAAGCAAATGTAAGGTGTAATCCTCTTGGAGCGTGGAATCATGTTTCCGCCAGTGTGATGGGACTGGGGGAGCTTGGGAGAATTTCCTACGGAGACCATGCCGCTGACAAGATGCTTAAACAGGGTCGACGACAAGTCCGCATCTGAATACGGCCTCGAGGCTGGCGCTACATTGCATTTGGTTCTCGCCCTTCGAGGTGGAAACTAGATCTGTCTCTGACAATGGCTTTGAGCATGAGAAGAAAGACCAGGAAACAATACGCAGCCCAGGTGTTTTCAGCGTTCTCGAGACGGAGCATTCATCGGCTACAGAGCCGATAGGGGATGATATGCAGTAGCGACGTCCATTTGCGACATGGAAGTATAGAATATTGCCTGTCCAAAGGGTGGGGGTTCTCAAGGCAGGCTAGAATGCCAGGCTTAACTCTCAAAAGCTAACGCCTGGATTGGGATTTGGCACCAAGGGAACCAACATCTAGCGTGTAAAGGCAGCCTGCGATAATCCGCACATGGAGAATGAAGCTAGTCACATGAACACAGCATGGGATCAAACAAATGGTGCTGAGTTGAAAGCCAATGCACGGTCAAGCATCTTCAAACGAGTTCAATTTCACCCTGCCATGATGGGCAGAACGACCATGCGAAGCCTGAGGGTATATACCATAACCTACCCAACGCCTGAATTCAAATGCTATGTGACCTGTCCCTATACCAACGCCCGACGACCTTTCATTTTACAATACTCGTGATTCCTCATTTTAGCCATACCTGATTATACTGTCCTTCAGCGTCTAGTCTTCTTTTTCGGCATGAAAATGTCGACAGCCTTTCTCTTTCTGGGCAGCTCCTGATTGCCCAGAATTGGACGAGCTTGTTGCGCTTCGTCCAACGACGCTGGCAAAGGAGGAGATTGCGGGCCGCTGTTCTGAGCAAGTACTTTGTGCGTGCGGGAATAATCCATACTCGCAGAGGATGATGGCTCGGGTCTGGTTGGTGGACGCTCAACTCTGATATTGCTTTTGGGCCGGGCAGCGTTTCCGAGAATACCACCCCCACGTCGCAAGCCCGATGTTTGCGAACTAGAGGTAGATCTTGCAGATGTGGAAGAATTGCGATCCTTGTATGCTGAGGATTGGGAAGGTTTTGTAGGCATGGAGGAAGCTGCCGTATCCCGACTGTGGCGAGAGGAAGATACTATGTTCTTGTTCTTCTTCGGCGTTCCCTCATCGCTGAACAAATCACCGTCTTCGCCGTCTGATGAATCGGAAACGTATGTGGCTTTGGACTGGGGAGTGACATATGTGGAATGTGTGGGCGGGCGACTGCTGGTAGATGTTGGCCGAAAGACTGGTTGGCTTGAGATTCGATGCTCAGCAGCCATCGAGGGCGGGGCCTGTTTCAATCGAGGGGCCCTGATCATGCCAGTTGGTACAGCCATGGTGCTTCTTATGCCGACAATCTCTTTAGCCTCTCTACGGGCTTTCTTCATGACGCTGGCGCCCGTCGTCATCTTCATTCTGCTTCCGGCGGCCCAGCTCAGGGAACTCGGGAGCTCCCTCTTTCCTCGAGGCTGCGTTGAAAAGGTGCGACCGGTCTTGGGTGGCTTGGGCAAAAACCTAGCGAACTTGGGGTCTACGATTCTGCTGACGTTGTTGTCCTTCTTCTGCTGGAGCCCCTGGACCCTGGCGAGAAGCTCGGCCTCAGCCTGTTGCTGAGCCTCGCGGCGTTCCTCCGCATATCTCTCGTATATCTTGTACCACTTTGACGGATTCTTAGGCGCGTAATTCTTTTCGTGGCTTTCGGATGGAAATTCCTTCTTGATAAGGCGCAGCCAAAGCTCGGAGGTTTCGCCCTGTATGAAAGGGGAGTTGAGCTCGATCTCTCGGAGCTGAGCCGGGTTCGTGACTCTGAGGAGGATTTCGCGAACATGGTGGTATTGGAGGGCGTCGCCATTGCCGACACTGCTGAGTTCTGTGATATGTCTCTGGCACATAGCAATGCACAGTTCGGCAAGTGACTTAGTCGGCGCCATGGTGAGTGATGTAGGTGAATTCTTGAAGAGGGCCTAGCTGATGGTCGTTGCCGCCGTGATGAGAGCGCTCGGTCGTAAGGTCGTTGATGGGGAACTGGCGAATCGCAGGCTCATCGTTCAAATAATGGATGTAGTGTGTATTTAGGTAATTCGAATAGTAGGTTATTGTACCAGAGTGTTTCTGTCTTGCTAGAGGGGACCCCTCGAGGCTCTGTGGTAACAGGCCGAGCCGATAAGAAGTACTATACTCAAAAATCAGATATTCGTTGTTGCTGGAGTATGTAAGTGATGGCGGGAAGTTGCAGGTGGATGGGTCCTTTTAAAGAGGTCACGAACACTGAAGTGCCAGATCCGTAGTGGGGCATGCGGCTTTTAAGTGGCTCCCAAAGCTGACCTGGACGGGCCCTTGTCATAGAGCTAATGTAGACCGTGACTGTCACTGGGGTACCTCGAAGGATAAATGATGGCCGGGCTCATTGCGCAAATAGGTTTGCTTCTAATAATCAATGATTGAGACCTCCGGGCTCGGACATTTGACTTGCTCATATTACGAACCAAGGCAGATGTCAAAGTATTATGGTGTTAGGATTTGGATTCGAGAAATAGTCGAGTGGCATGGTAGGTACTTGAACCTCCAAAAGTCGAGGTTGGCTCCGATTCACCCATGTCACATGATGACTGAGCTAGTCTACTTCGGGGCACAAAGGTACCTCCAGGCTACTGCATTGAGTGGATCTTGACTGCCACTCGTAGCTTCTCTGTTGCTTGCTGTGACGGAGCTAAGATAGATGTGGACTATCCTGATCCCTCTGCCGTCATTGCAAAAAACACCAACTCTTCCTCGACTTCGCGACCTTGGATAGCAACGGAGCATTTGAGGTAATCCCGAATATTCAATATGGCGGACTCAACATACATCAAGCCGGAGCCATATATCAAGCCCGATCCCGAAGCCATACCTGCCGCTCCTGTCGACGACGATGACCTATACGAAGATGCTGGCGATCTGGAGTTCTTCGACCAGTTCGGTGATCAAGGCTCCTTCGGCCAGGCATATCTAGCACGCGTTCCGAAGGACCTGTGGGAAGCATGGGATAGCTTGCCGGATGACGCAGAAATCGAGATTGGCACCATGCGACAGTGGGATGTGGTCCGTCCAGATGGCAGCGTTGAGGTACTGTGATATACGCGACGCGACAAGTCTGGATCGACGGTTGAGCTAACTTTTTTTGCGCAGCACCGTTTCAAAATGTTACTCAATTCCGACCGCGCCGAGCACCAGCTGATGCCGAAAGAATACGACTTAGAGATGGGCAAGGAGATCGCGCGCAGCACGTTCGTTTTCACCGAGGAGGACCTACCTGGCTTCAAGGCCAAATCCAAGGCGCGAACAGATGCTGCAAACGCTGGCATTCCGGCTCGATTCCTGAGACCCAAGACGGAGAAGGTAGAGAAGAAACCATTCGAGAAGGGTCGCAAATGGCAACCCTACTACCGCAAAGCGATCCCAAGTCAGTTTGATGCTCTCAAAGTGGCGCAGATCAGCAGCTAATTCAACGCAGAGAAGACAAAGATTGCCGCTAGGATCCAGTACGAGCTGGCGTGCAAGCCAGTCGATAACGCGGAGAGCCAGGCAATTCTTCAACGGAAGCAAGTCGAGGCTCAGCGGCCCAAGCATACCCTGCAGATCATGGAACAGCGCGCAGCCAACAGCATTATCCACCATGGCTCTGCAGCTGCGGTTGAGAAGTTTGGCTCCTTCATTGTGAGTAGCACTCAGTGGGAACTGGTAGATCCAGTACTAATGGAGAATAGAAAACGTCTGCGCCTACCAAGGCCACCAAGCCGAAGAAATCCGAAAACAGATCCGCCCGCATGTCGGAGGAACAACTGTTGGATGGTCTCATGGAGGCTTTCAGGAAGTACGAGTACTGGAAGATGTCGATCCTCAAGGCTAGATTTGACCAGCCCGAGGCTTTCTTACGCCAGACATTGGAAAAGATAGCGGTACTTAACAGGTCCGGCATTCACGCCAACGAGTGGTCGCTTCAGGAGCACTTGAAGAGCATGGCGTCCGGCGCCACTAATGAGACGGCACCGGAGGAAGCCGCCGCAGAGGACGACGATGACGAAGTGGTTATGGAGGATGTTGTCTAGTGACCATTCGCAATTATACACAGATCGGGCACAGGAACCGCAGGGTATCGCAAGGCGTTTGGAAGGGAATTTTTTTTTCGCATGGAAAGTCTTGGATGGAGGTGGCTCTTACAGTTAGGGACTTTTTGATACCCCCTGGGACACTAGGTGACGACACACGTGTCGAAGGGTTTGCAGCTGTCCCTCCCATCACAGAACGATAGAGCAAAACAGAGAAAGCGATATACACTCTGCCTGGGATGCACTCGATGAAGTCCACATCCGATGGTGGTAGCAACAGAGTGTCCACTGTCCCGACTATTGACATGAGCATGGCTGTCTTTCTTTCCTAGTCCAACACCACTTGTGATCAAAGTGGGCAAGTGGGGAAGTGCACAGTCATCATCACTCGACTTCATCGGCTTGGATCCAACTAAGCCAATCTTCCCAAACACAACGTCAAGACCGCGCTATATCACGTGTTGCGGAAATGCCCCCTTTAACTCCCATTCTCGTGTTGGACTTTGATGGTACCATTACGACAAAGGATACGATTGGTACATTGGCAGAAATCGGCCTCCAATTCCAGCAGCAGCGCGGGGTTGATCTCTCTTCAAAATGGCAGCAGATCCTGCTAGATTACAGCAAAGACCATGCCAACCATGTGTCCACGTATATTCCAATCGCAGATGACAGATCCTCGCTCAAAGACGAGCTCGCCTTCTTGCGGGGTCTGAAGGAGGTTGAAATGCTATCAGTCCAGAGAGTCGAGAGCTCAGGCATCTTCCGGGGCATCGGCCTGGAATATCTTACACTTGCCGGTGAAACTTGTCGAAAGGAAGGGAGAGTCAAGTTAAGGGATGGTTTTGCGGAGCTCATGAATGCTGCCAGAGAGAAGGGCTGGTCCGTCGCAGTAGTCTCCGTCAACTGGTCTAGATCATTCATCAAGGGTGTCCTCTCAGACTATAGCGTCGACGTTGTCGCTAATGAGATCGAGCTGAACGGAAGCATCTCAGGGCCGGAAGTAGCAGGCTCATCAACAAGGCAGGCATCTTTGATGACGTGCGAGGATAAGCTGCGAGCCCTTCGAACATTGGCGGCTCGGCGAGGAGTAGAGGATGTTGGGGCGCTGGTGTATTTTGGCGACTCCACTACGGATATTGAGTGTCTTTTGGCAACCCGAGGAGTTGTGATATCGTCCAACGCCGAGTCGAGTTTGATGAAGACTCTGAGGAGAATAGGGTACCAAGTGCCAAAGGTGGATAATGTTCAGGCGCCCGGAGGCACAGCATGGGCATCAACCTTTGTAGAGGTTCTCGAAAGTGAATACCTATCTTTCAAGAAGTCCACATAATAAACCTCTAGTCTTCTAAACAATGCTAGTTGATCCTTTGGTCGTGACGATGTTATGTTAGGCAGTGCTGTTGTCTCGCATCCTTTGTTCAGACATCCCGCCTGATAACGTCACAAGATCTCGATCCCCTTTGTTAACTTTGGTAGAAAACATCAGTTAGAGGCCCGCGAAACATCTACATGTCTAGAAACAACTGCAGTACTTTGGGTTTCGATTCATGTTCGACCTAGGCAGGTCATCTATGCCACACGGTCTGACGTCGAGCATATAAGTGTGTCGAGGTTCGGGTCGAAGTTGCCATGTCAGATCTCTACTTCAACCACAAAACACCAGTAAGTCCAATCCCGCTCGACTTTTCCGTTTCCACTACTCTTTTATCTAGCAACCATGTGTTTCTACCGTGCCACCGTATACGGGTGCAAGCACAGTGAACTCGGCAAAAAGGTTACAGTCTGCAAATTGCAGAGGGACCTCCTCAAGTACACGGAAAGTGCTACTAGTCACACATGCATCGAGCGCCGTGTACACTCGATGAACTGCGTCCGGAAGGCTGGAGTGTGTGACAAGTGCAAGCGTCTGGACACACTCAGAGACCGCACGGCAGATGCGTTCAAGAGCCTACAGAACACGCTACGAAAGCGCAACGTTGTCGATGACGATTCTGGGGGTGATGGCCTTAGAGCTCTCGAGACCTTTGAGGCTGTCGAGGTCCCCAAGGTTGAAATTGATTCGGATGATGATAGTACTGCAGCTCACGAGATCTTTGAGCTTATCCCGACTCCTAGGCTTGACATGACCCCTGACGAGCTTGATGACGAGGGTGCCACTTCATCGAAGGGAGAGACCTCTGCGGCTTCTGAGGTCTCGGAAACCTCTGAAACCCAAGGTGCCTCTGAGTCTTCCCGCGAAACGGTCGAGGCTATTGACACAACCAAGAGTATTGTCGAAGATGAGGCTACGGGAGAGCCGCAAGGCTCTTCTACTTGATTACCAAGCGATGGATGTTGGAATTTTCCGTAAACCCACTCAGAAGACATCAACGTCGTGCACTGCCAAGTCTGATTCCTTCTTGCTTCGTCCTGTGTTGTATTGTTTCCCATACATAATTTAAAATTGAGTTGGCTGCTGATAAAACACGTGAGATTTTGCATCATTATACCACCGCTCAGTGAGGATGATCTTCTCTTTGATGCTCTCTAATGTAAGTGGCATCTGGTGATATCGCAAAGCATGACGAGGAATTCTGGAAGGTGATCTCGAGTGGCTGAGTCGAGCCGCATTGCGTGAGACGTAAGCTGCATGTCCATCATTTTGATAAACAAACCCGGGCCGAGGCTCAGCAGGAAGCCTCCGTAACAGGCAGAGGGCTACCGTTGATGATGGATGTAGGGCTTAAATCCCGGCTTTGGTGTTCTTTCTCTATAGATGCCACGCTCGGCTTTCAACTGGAAGCAGATTATTTTCTCGCGCGTTAATTGGAATGAATACGGCAAGTAAAGACTTGGAGGTCTATGTACGGAGACAATTAAGCAGAGCGAAGGTCAGAGGCTTCAGTACCTCGATAGCCACCACCACGAAAGATAACAAAATATCAACAGCATGGCGATCTTTTTTACAATTGGGGAAACATAGTACAACGGGAGGCTGGGATACGTATACTTCGACATCGAGACACAGTAAATCGTATGTGTTCTGCCTTCATGTGCATCTTGTCATCTGTAAAGACTTGCAAGTTTAGCTGCTCAGAGCGTGAGGCATACCGCAAACGAGACTTCACCGCTCGCTTCTGAGTTGGGATTTCGAGAGGTAAGGGTGGCGCGGACCACAACCGTGGCGAGAGGTAAGATCATACCTAGGTCCCGTACACCGGCATTGGTCTCCGAGATGCGGGCCCGATCCGGTCGAGTTACATCGGGAGATGCAAGGCCGCCTCACGTCTGGAATGCTCGGGAATCGCCACACTGGGGCTCAGATTCCTCGCCTTGTGTTGGGATGACTGCGGGTTGAACTCCCAGTAACGTAACGCAAAGCAAGCTTCGCCCCTCGCGGGTTTCCACAAATTCGTAACCAAAACAAGAGCAATCCTACAATAGGAGAAACTTGTCACGACACACTGGCAGTATCGTAGCTACTGGCATTGCGTGGGCCTAGAGTCAGCTCCTCCTAGCAGGGCCTGGGTAGGAGCGGCGAACCTGTCGAGGAGTAAAAGGCATCCGACGGCAAGAAGACTGGATGAGACAATTCAGACACGGCTGGGCCAGGTGTCAGATCACCTTTAGACGGGTTACAGTGCCGACAAGCGAGCGGATGTGCCAAAACACGACACGCAAAGCATTGACAGAAATGTTTAGAGGTGTGCAGACTCGTGTGCGATCAAAACTCCCAATTCTCGGTTTGGACGGAGGGGACTGTTGAGGCGCAGACATGGATGAGACCGGTACGCTTCTCAGGCTCCTGACGAGCTTTGTTGTTCACAGGGGTTGTTGTGTAGGTATGTATCAGTCGGGCCAAGCGATACAAATCATCCGATGGCACGAAGGGTTTGAGGCTTCAATAACCCCATGTGCCCGCTCACATACTGCAAACGGCCGTTACAATGTGCGTTGCTTCGAGTCGGCTCAGTCTGTTGAATGCCTATCGGTATAGGGGGCCTAGAAACGAGGTAGGGAAACTTGGCATGGAGTCGTCTTCGTATGACGGACGGACGAGCATTGAAGACAATGAAAACGAGGTGCATAATGCAGGCTTTGTTCAATGAGGTTAGGTGATTTAAGATACCAGGCGATGCAATGCAGAGAAGCCGGGGGTGGGCCGAGGATATTGGCGTTTGGTGTTTGGCGTTCTAGCCGTCAACATGGTGTACACTATGATGTTGGAGCTGGAAAGACCGTGCGTACCTAGGTGAGGGTAAGGCTGGCCAAGGAGGTTTGAATTGAATGGCAGTGATGCATTTGGTGTGCCAGAAAAGGAGCCATTATGTATATAGATTTATGGTCTGAGTGTTCCAAGTTGACGGTTAAACGATCCAGGAGCTCTCCTGGAGTAAAGTAAGCCACTAGAAACGTATCTCGGCGAGGACGGGTTTTGTAGCAGCTGGTAAGCGAAGTAGTTGCTGCGCAAACGTGGCATAGTTCGGATGGGACTTTGTGGAACAGAGAAACGCGGCTCTAGCTGTGATGAGATCATTAATATCCGCACGCTAGAGTGCATACTATAGTGCTGTATGATATTGGTGAGGGTGGGGATTCTGAGTAGGAGGCGGCATGACAGAGGCAGCGGTGTCCTTGGAAACTCAGATAGGGTTGCACCCAACGCTAGATCACATCGACATCTCAGGCGATCCAGAGTCGACTCCTCTATCGGGTTGTCATCGAGTATATTGACAGCTCGTAGCTCAGAGAGGTGAAAGAGAGCAATGCTCTTACAGACAGCATCAGTGAAGTGATTTCTCACCTATACTCCTTGCCTTCTCCTGCAGGTACCTGGGCTCTGCACAGGAGTTCCCAGCTCGGTCCGGACGCTCGCCAAGGCAGAAAGATTCATGCAGGATGAGGAGAGACCGGGCGTGCTTCGCTCCCATTGAGGTGTCATTGACACTGAGAAGGAGAGGCATATCTGAATCTTGGTTTCGAGGCGTCCCGTCGGCTATAGTACATGGAAAGGAAAGGCTAATGTACCTGTGTATCCGTAGGGCGTTGGATCTTTGGGTAAGGTGCACTTCACAGTAGGAACCAATGGCGGCCTGTCTAAGCTGCTTAGGTGTATATTTACGTAAACCTACTCTTCACACTAACGACGTGCATGCATGCACTTTACCTCGAGGGGAGGCACCCCAGATGTTGTACCTGCCTTACCTTATTTGATTTGATTCAGGTACCAACGTACCGCATCTGGCTCGACTTCTAAGCGCTAAGGTAATCGGTAGCAATCTCACAATCACCGAGAGGCCTTGAACTTCTGGCGTGGTTTGTGATTCGAATTTTGGAAGCCTGAAAGCCTCCAAACATAGAGCTGTGCATAACACTCGGACAGAACGGATACGGAAAAGTCATCGCAAGTTGGTCGCCACGGGTCACCCTGGAGATCAGGAGGTACATTGCGGAGCAAGTTGGCGGGAGTGAAGCAAATTGCGCCAACTGGCAACTGCTTGTAAAGTGGAATACAGGGGGGGAAAGAGGAGACGCAACTTGCAAATGGAAGGCTGCTTGCACCCCGCATCCGCGTGCGCGCAGCACGCGGATATCAATCAGGGTCTGGCGGCATCGCCGCGCCGGCCCTCTATTCGCAGGGGAAAAAAGGACATGGAGAGTGGAGGACTATGAGTTGTGGAGGCTGGGCCGGTTGCCGCCGCATCCACTTGGAGCATTGCAGCAATATAGGTACCGTCCAGTCCTGCATCCTCGAGGCAGTGTCTGCGTGGAATATGTTTCTTATGCTGTGCCACGAGAGATGTACAGAAACAGAGATTGTGCTGACGACAGACCAGAGACGAGACAGACTCTGTACTTACCTCACTGTGCGGTGCTGGGAGACGACTACCTAGATTCATGGCAAGGTAAGGAAGGTATGGTGCATGACCAGCACACAAGCATCTGACAATCCCAGTCCCCTGCAGCAGCGCTTTCTGTTGATCGTGACCAAATGGTTCGCCGTAGCGGGCGCCGCTCTGAGGGGTCTGAGTCTTGACTCTGCAGTACGGATACCAACCAATGTGCCAGCCAAGTACTCCGTAGTAAGCTAGGCAAGCTTGCTAAGGCTCGGGTAAAGACGACCTGGGTGCCTCGACAATTTGGGTGCCCATTATGCTGTTTTCCTGCTGCTGCATAAGGTATCGAGTTCAACTCAATCAATCTCGTCTTCAGCGCCTCTCATCTTTTATTAAGGGTCGCTTGCCAGAAGGACATCCCCCTCCCAACATCCACTCGTCCCCGACACAACAAACAACCTGCGGACGTCAAGTAGATTGCTAATACAAGCCAGGGGAAAGGAAACAGAAAGAAGCGGTCCGTTACAGGCAGACAAAGAGCCATGTGTAATATGCGGCGTGCAGCGTGCAGCAGCGGTTTGCCGATGGCCTAAAGTGATGGCGCCCGCCCCCCTCCTCTGCTTCATTACCATACGCAGTATCCGTAAGGCAACTTACGAATACAGCTTACTCCTGAGCCCTGTGCCCAAGTTCTCGGTGGTTCTGGGCGTGCCCCAAGTCCCCTAACCGATTAGATACTCCCCATACTGGGCTCAGTAGGGTAAAGTGTCTTGGGTGCCAACCGCGCCTTAGTAACCTTCCCCCCCCCCCCCACCCCCTTTCCTCATGGCTTGGATGTATACATCCCCACTGTGATTGACAGAGAATACCTCCCCAATGTACCTTATGCTCGTCACGTTTTCATGTATCATGCGTCTCCCTAGGTACTTGCCTAGGTTCCTAACCAGTGCATTGCTTTACAAACTCCCTATCTGCCTTCCATCTCCCGCCTCTCCGCCTCCAGCATCCGCGTCCGTCCTCTCTCGTATATCTCCGGGCGTGCTATGGGCACCCCCGGCTACCCTCCCGTCCCTGCCCATCTTCCCTCCTTCAGAATCAGGACCCCTTCGTCAGCCGCCCAAGGCCCTTCTTCTCATTTGCAACCCGGAATGCGTGACTCTGCTTGACACCACCGCCTTTTTATCCTTCATATTGCTGCCCTTCTGCCCATCTTCTCGCCTATTCGTCGTGCCTTGTTTATTTGTTTCGTCTCTCTGCTCCTGCCCTGTCGTTGCTGCAGTTGCAACTCCGCTCCTACCGATCCCATCGACTCTTGCCCTCTGCCTTCCTCGACTTCATTCCTCTCTTTCACACTCTCTCACCAGTCCTCCTCGCTCTTCTGCAAACGACACCGCTCGAGAACAAACGATTCTTTTCCCTTCAAGGCCCAACCCAACACCAAAAGTTTCAATCGATCTAGCTGTCGATGCAATTCCACACAAGTACGGCTTGCAACTGATTTGTCCGACCGGTCTCCACGCCGAGCTCTAGTTGTCCCCCCTCGAGACAACAACCGCCCTCAGAAACTCGTGCAACCTTCACGACGAGAAAGGAACCGATTTCCTCCGCAGTCTACAGGCTCAGTTCCCCGCAGCTAATGTCGCCCTCGCCAGCCTGGCACATCGGACTCTCCGACATACAACATGGAGCCCGTTCCCGAGACTGAGAGAATGGAGGAGTTCCGATCCTCACCACTTCCCTCGCTCCGTATACAGAACCCGACATTACTCCCTCCTGCCGTTGCCGAGCCTGAACCTTTGCGAAAGCCCCCGACTCTCCGCCGCCAGACTGATCCCAGTCCTACTTCTCCGACTACGCCATCTTGGACCTTTACCCCTCTGCCCTACCGACCACGTACTACCTCGCCCTTGTCCGGTCACCACACGAGATCTAGGTCAGCAGCAAGTTTGGCCCCTCCCATGTCTCGCACCCAGTCTATGCCTGGCGTCAATGGCGCCGGCCACATCCTATTCTCCCCTCAACTCCGCCCCGCCAGTCCCTCTGGATCGCCCGCCCGCGTGCGAACACCACGGAAGCCTGTCGACGAGGCATTCCCGACTTCACCTATCCGCGCCTCCGCCTTAGATCCCGATCGACAGACTGCAGAGCGATACAGTTCTCCAAACCTCATTGGAACGACGCCCTCTATGGTCCTGCCCCGACATCGCCGCCCTTCCTCACCACTGCGGAACCCTGGTACTGCCAACACTCCCTCGTTCGCAATGCCTACCACGCCTACATATACATCGGCGTCATCTTCGCCATCTCTACGAGGATACGACTCTCTCTCACATGGCTACGGAGTCTCTCCTTCGTTTCCTTCCTCGTCAGTCCCGTCGACCCCGACATCTACAAGATCGAGAAGCCCAAGCATTTCTAGTCTGGAAACTATACCAGATTCGCCTGATGCGGAGGAGGCAGCTATGGAGGCAGAGAGGATTGCCCAATTGAAGGCTGCCGCAGACGCCGCAGAAAATGGCGATGCTAGTGAGGTGAAGGGCAAGAGCGGTCTAGACGCGCCCTTACGTGGCAGAACTTTGGGAGGGTTTGGATCGAGAGACAAGCGAAAGCGCTGGAGTGTGTGTGGCGCTGAACGACGACAAGATCTCGACTTGGAGACGATTTGGGAAGACTGAGAATTTGGAGACCTCAGAACAGAACGTACATCGCAAGTACGGACGACAGTGAGGCAGACACGTACCGAGAAATACCTCAAAGGCTGGAACAAAGCGAATCGTTTTGAGGTCTGCAATGGCGTACAATTCCCGACACTCATTTGTGCCGAGTGTCTGGATTTCTTTGCACTGCATTTAGCATCGACAAGGTTATGGGCATGGCGGCGTTCAGTGAACTCCTTCTGATACCCTACACTGCATTTCAACTCCCAAAGGGCATGACGGAAAGATTGTAATCATATTTGGTTTCTGTACTTTACTACAGGTGGGGGTTTAAACCCCCTTCCGACGGGACTCGACCCTCTACTTCGAGAAATGGCGTAGGAGGTCTGCTTGTTAATGAAATATACCACATTCATGAACTTTATTCTCCCTTCCTGAGGCGTCTTGCCGACAAGCCGTTGTGTTCTAATGTTTTGGCTCATTGCGACGATGTCTTAGCCGTGGTCGCTTGAAAGGGTTGAAAACAGCCCCCCTTGCGTGATACTATCATCCCCCCTCCCACTTCTTCAGGACCCGACTCTCAATAGACAGCACCCATAGTCTTCCCTCTATTCTTGAGCCCTCCACATCTTCTGGGAACCAAGGGCTCGAAGCCTCCTGTGATGGAGATCATGCAACTCCCTGAAGATCTGAGCGATGACAGCGACAGTGTATAAAGAAGGCAATGGCTTTCACTTCAAAGGTCTTGGTGTATCAGGCAACTCAGCATCCATCCAGCTTGACACAATACCCTACAGAAATTGTTGTTTTGAGTATTCATTGCTCGAGCCTTTCAGTGTCTTCCTATTGCTGTCCAGATCATTTCTCAACACCATGCAGCAAAGCCTCTTCTTGGGCATCTCCGCCCTTCTCCTCGGAACTGCGGTAGCAGCTCCGAAAGGTTCAGACGAACAGGTGAGATTTACAAGAAACTCAAATCAAATCTTAAGAGATGGATAACTTGCTAACGAAATTGGAAACCAGGTTGTCGCTCACATCGTCCGAGGCCCAGACTCCCAACCGTACCTAGAATCAGGCGAATGGGTCCGTCCCATCGCCGCCCGGGGCCGCTCCCGATTCCACTTCAACGGCACCTCCAACGGGACTTCGTCTGCTGTCGGCACGGGCACCGCCGCGGAGACCGCCAGCAGCACTCACTACACCCTCTCGTACAACACCTCGTCCACCGCTTCCGCCTCCTCCTCGTCGTTCCACGCTTCCGGATGCCCCGAAAGTGTCACCACCTCCTTCACCACGGTGGACGTCACGTTTTACATCACGGCGACGACTTCGTATGGCGGCAACTTGACATCGTCGAGGGGCACCGGCACAGCCTACCTGCCTTCGTCTTCGTCCTCGCTGCCTGCCAACTCTACCAGTTCGAGAGCAGCATGGAACACCACCTCCTCGACTTCCATGATCCTCTCGACCGGCTACACTTTACCCGTAAACTCAACAACCGTTTCATCCGCGGCACCGTCCGAGTCCCCCTGTCCTGACGACACCGCCAGCACCCATCAGCCGTACCCTAACATCACGTCGACATACTCCAGCTCATCCTTGACGACCGGGGGTTCAGATGGGACCGTCACCTCCGTACCCGTCTGGCACAACACCACGTCTGCGGCCCCCTCTCAGACAACCGAGCCTTGCGATGATGATATGAGCTCTACTTCCTCATATACCAACTCGACTTCAACGGCGTTCAGCAGCCAGCTCAACTCCACGGCGCCGTGGTCCACCAAGACATCCACCAGCGCGGCCGTGGAGACGCCTTGTGACGATGAGACCAGCACCGGAAGCACTGTTCCTACATTCACATCTAGCATGCCCGTCGCTAACTCGACTACGACGTACACTCTCTCGACAAAGACTCAAAATGGGACATACACCCAGTCGGCCACCACCTCGGCCAGCGCCACGACCGAGCCATGCGATGACGAGACTACCTCCAGCGCCTCGATAGCCCCAACATCGTCCAGCTGGACAACACAGACGCCCAATGTGACTCCCTTCCTCCCCAACACCACCAGCAGCATTGCCACGTCCACCGCCCAGGCGACGACAGCCTTCTCCTCCGTCATTCCGACGGAAAGCTGCGTCATCGACACCTCTATGGCGCCCATCACCACCGCCTCGTTGACCACGGTCCCTACCTCGACGACAATCCCAACAAAAACAGTCTGCCAAAACGACGCGCCGACGGGCAAGCCAATGCCGGGCAACAACCACTGTGGCGTCCATGGCTTGCCGGTAGGTAACTACTTCCTGGCTCGCTTCGTCAACAACGCCCCCAACGTACCCGTGACCCTTGAGGGCTGCTACCAATTCTGTGCTGTAAGTTGATAATTCTCCCTCACCCCCTTTCTGAGGAATCCAAGCCCAGCATTGCTGACGAAACTCCTCCTTCACAGAGCGTCATGAACACCACCGACGGCTGCAAGTCGTACCGTTTCTACCCCGAAAAGGGTCTCAACGTCCCGCGGTGCGACCTGTATGGTAGCACCGTCGCTTACGCGCTGGACTCCATCGACAACGACCACCCTGATCTGTGGTTCGATCTCACTTGCGGCTCGCCCTCCAGTGAGCAGTGGGCGCACCTTCCAGGTATCGAGCGTCTTCACGAGCTCGGCCTGGTGAGGTAGATATATACCTTACTGGACGGCGACTGAGGCGGCTTGTGTTTAGAATTGAACATACAAAATACGAAGGATGCTGTTGGAGCATCGTAATACAACTAGAAAAGAGTAATAGGGGGTCTCCACAAGATGGAGTGGCAATTATGGAGAACAACTCATAGTAGTGCATAATAGTATAATCAAAAAGGTTCATTATTCGTATCTGTCATGGCTTTTTCCTTCTTCATAACTTGCCATATGGCAGCCCGTCATAGACATCTAGTCAAAGGGTATTCGCCGCAGATTATCGCGGGCCCCTCTCTTCCTCATCTCTTGAGCAGCGGCGACACTGCTAGGGACCTTGATGCCGCAGCAATCACCCCATCCGACATGTTGATGCTTATGCTTGCTCACATTCCCCGGGTTAATCTCGCCGCTTTCCTCTTCATGCTCTTCGTCGCCTAGCTCAAAGTCCTGCTCTGTGCTCATCCCATCTACTGCTGGAATAAGTGAACCGAACAAGAAGTGTTGCATGACCGGCAGTTTCCTCAAAACCTCGGCGACGAACATTCGGCGCATACCACCCTCCACCTTGGTCCATGACTTGGAAGCTGAGATATCGTCCAGCATGGGGCTGTGCCATCGTAGACCCTTGACCGTTTTCGTATCGTTGACGAAGTTGACCTGGCCAAGGTAGAGATAATCTTGACTAAACTCCTCCAGTGTGAGGTCTTGGTGGATCGCCAATGGTGTGATGAATGGATGGTGCAGAAGCTGCGAGGCGCCAAATAGAAATGGAAGAAACTGGTAGTCATCCAAGCCCCATACACCGTGTGAGCCAGCGGGTTCCAGATAGTACGTCAACTGGACGTTACGCATGACCTGCAGGTACCGCTCAAAAACCCTGAGGACCAATGGTCGGAAGTCGCCCTTGGTGATGATTCGAAGTTGGTAAAGGCATAGGAGCCACATGATGAAGTTAAGCTCATGCCCTGAACCATAGTCTATACGTTGCCTGTTTCCAAAGGAATGCTCCAGATAGACCAAGACCTCAGTGTTTGCGGCCTCGCCGACGCCTAATCCCGTCTGCCAAGCCGCTGCCTTCTCTTTCACCAGGTCTAGGAACGTCCGGAAGGCTTTGTTTCCAAAGCGTGAGCCCTCTTGATCGTCGGGGGGAGCCTCTTTCACAAATCCATCTACTTCGTCGAGTATGCCGAGGATCGACCGTAGCGTAGGGGCGAGTTCGCTATCTTTAACGGCAGAGCGAGGTGTATCTTCGACGGATTCGGAGAGGCCAAAGACGAAAGCTAGAACCAGCGTGTATGTCGGAGACGACAGGAACAGCTCGTGGTCTTTCTGGGAAAGGATCCGTCGCGAGGGAGTCTTGTATTCGTGGTCATCGAGGCCTAGTGGTGCGGGCAGAGCGGGCGTCTCGGGACGTGGTGTTGGATTGGAGGGAGTTGGTCGACGTCGGCGGGGTTCTAGCTTGGGAATCTTATTACTCAAAGTAGGCACGACTGTCGTGCCGGCGTGCGTTGCAGTATCTGCTGAAGCCATGGAGGGAGTGGGAAGATTCGGGAACAGATATTCAGTGATAAAGGAGTGGTTGTGCAGCCAAGCTTGGCGGAATATTGAGTGATGTTGAAGTCGAAGTGAAGCTTAGAAAGCTCGCTGTGTTGAGTACGTACATACTTGTCTGGTCAATGAAGCAGCCCCCCACCTGAGGTAAGGTAGGTAGGTACGGAGTACCTCAGGACGTACCTGCCGACGCAGATCTTGATTGCAATTGGCCTGCTGCTGAGAACTTTGCCTCGAGACAGGTACGTACCTGTGGCTCGCCAACTTCATCCTAATTTTTCCTCCCGGAAGTTGCTTGAGGCAGGATATACAGGTTGTCGTTGTACTAATTCGCACTCGCTTTCCGAGCAAACCTCAAGGGAGAATTCCTAACTCACCAGTTCATTCCCTTGTTCTCATTCGCCAACATTGCCGCATCACCATTCGCCATGACTCTCAATTCGAACCCCCAGGCCCGCATCTCACATCTGCCGCGAGCAGATGGCTCGGCAACGTTTTCAAGAGGCGGCTATTGCGTGGTTGCGGCCGTCAATGGGCCGATTGAGGTCCAACGACGCGACGAAAACCCCTTCGAATCAGTCGTTGATGTTGTCGTACGACCTGCTGCAGGGGTCGGAGGTCAGACTGTCTTTCTTCTGGCACCTTGTGGTCAATTTTGCTCATACTCGTGACGACTATTTAGGCACAGGAGAACGCCAACTCGAGAACATTCTGCGGTCCGCCCTTCGCCAGCTGATTCCCGTCAAAAACTTCCCTCGATGTCTTATTCAGGTTACGCTCCAGGTGACTGAGACGCCGCAGAATGACTATGCAAACAGCAAAGTAATACAAGCTCAGTCTGTAAGTAATAAGTTCATCTCAGATATCTCAAAGCCACCGCCCAGTGTCGCCTATTGAGTGCTGTTGCTGACTATCCTACTCTACTAAAGAGTCTGCCTCTGCTACCGGCTCTCTTTCACAGCGCCATCCTGGCCTTGCTGTCGGCTGCTGTGCCTTTGAAGGCTATTGCCACATGTGCCACTTTGGCCGTTGTCCGGAAGGGTGACAGGATCATCGCTGACCCGTCTCCTCTGGAGATTGACCAGTCAAAATCGCTTCACGTTGTCATCTTCACGTCGCAGAACGACCTGTTGTTGTTGGAGAGTGAGGGGACGTTCTCCATGGCCGAGTGGGATGAGGTGATCAACAAAGGTCAATCAGTGTGCAGCCAACACCGTCAAGCGGAGCTAGGTGTCGCCATGGACGATGACAGCCAAGACGCAACCGACATGCAGCAGTTCATCCGGACCGTCATGGAATCAAAGGCTGCGTAAAATCAGCCCATCAATCGAAGTATGCAGGATTTTGGAACCGCCGAGCGACAACCGAGGCGCGGGTGGTTCCTTATTCAGGAGTTCCAGTGAAGGAGGGATATCGACACTGGCTCAATGTAATCGATGGTGAGAAGGACGATACCAACGAGCAACGCGCGGCATCGACGTCTCGCCTCTAGGCATCAGGGACTGCGTCCTTGTACCAAAAGGGGTGGTCTGGATTGGTTCACTCAGTTATCAACGGTGAGAACGACAGACTGGGGAGAGTATCGAAACGAGACAGCCGACGGGGTGGCAAGACGAATTATCATGAGGTTTCCTCAGGGGGAGAGCAACGATGACAGCACCCGGAAACACTGTTGGAGCTGGGAGCCGGGGACCGGCTCGGCAATGGGCCTCTTCACAGGCTATCACTTATCACAAACGTCAGAAGCAGTAGCAACATGACACGGAAGACAAGGGCCAGAAAGTCATCCCGCGGCCGATGTTGGGAAAGTAACTTACCCGGGTCAGGTCGCATATCAAAGTCAAGTAAAGTGGATTGGTTGTTATCGACGGCGTTGTTTGACCTGTTTGAAGGTCGCTGAAAATGCGGCGTGAGGCGGTGTTTCAGCTCGATCTCAGGGGTCCTGAAGCGGGCAGGGGCACGGGGAAACCTGCGACAATAACAGGCCTCGAGGTTAGGAGCTACCGGGTGTTTCTGACCAGTACGTCTCCCGTCGCGGTGTTACCTTTGACCTTCTCCCGCCTGCGGAGGAAACTGGAAACGGCTCCGTGACCGTCTTCGGCGGGAGGGAGGATTGGGTGTCCTGCCTTTCTGCATCGGTCGGCACTGGAAAATGACACCATTTTCCAGTGGGTGGAGTATCTCCTGTTTTACCTGGCGTACCTTAAATGCCCAGGCCTTCGGGTACCGTTGGTAGAAATTCTATTACCCTGAGAAGATCTCCCAGGTTATCAAGTCACTCCGTGCCTGAGATGGCGATGCCAAAAAGCCATCCACGCAATAGTCTGGGTACCTATGAAATAAGGTGACCAATGAGTAGTAGCCGCCAAGAGCCACGGTTGGATACACCATACGAAGCGGCATGGTATTATATTGACTCTGCTCGGGGTGGCTTCGGGCCAGTTTAAGCATAACTGATGTTGGCATGCAAGTAGGGTCGGAATGCGGTAGTATGGTATTCGCGTCTCATCTTCCGGAGCAGCTTTCCTATCGTCTCCTTGCCTTAATTGCAGAAGCTCAAAGCCATGATCTTGGACTCTTGTCTTTCATCTTCATTGGCCTTCAGTAAGCAAAAGGAGTGACTTTTATCGTTGCGTATGCATGTGTTCCAGCTCGGTGGACCCGGGCCTGTGACCGCTGTTCCGCTTAGCAGTTTGGGCGAAGGCAGTGCCGCAGAGCTTCTAGAACGTCGTGCCAGGAAGGCAGAGGCAGAGGTACCTTGACTTATCAGCGAGGAAGTTTCCCTATACAGTGTGATAACAGATTTTTGGGGTGTACCAAACGCATGTGTTATCCAGTAACATGGGCCGGGTAACCGCCAGCCAAGGAGGTCCATGTACATACAAAAAATAATAACAAGGTAAGGTGGGAAGCGTGATGAGGTGAAGTAACCTAGGTGCTTAGGTATTAGGTAAGGTAGCTCTGTCCATGGCGGGCCAAAAAGCAGGCGGTGTTTGATCCGCATTAAGTCCAAACCAGCTCGACTCCTCCTTCCTTCTCCATGCAACGCTGATGATAACAACAACAACAACGAGAACAACGGCGACAACCTAGGGACATGGGATTGTGCAACAACAGCAGTACGGGAGGTGGATTGTTGTCGAAAGCAGCACAGCCCTCATTCGTACGCTCTGCAGGTTCCCACAGACAACGGACGGGAAACTTCATCTGCCATGTCTCTAATTATCTGATATCACCAAGGACCTCTACTATTTGTTGAACACATCAGTGCTGGTCCAATATCATCTTGGCTAAGGCATCTCAAGGTCAGGTTCGTTCCGAGGAAAGTCTTGGCTTTCGGTTCTTCTTACACCTGGCCGATTCTTGTCGTCGCATCCCCCACTTCACTCACTCACCTCGCCGGCGGTCGACGTTCTACCGGGTGGGATGCTCCAGATCTGCAAAGAGGT